TATTAAGCCCACTTATTTTTAGTCCACTTATTCAAAGCCCCCCAGGTATATTCTATTTATTTTTTTAGTCTATTAAATTAATCCTATATATATATCCTATTTTTCTTTTAGTCTGTTCAATTATATTTTATATATATATACATATATATTCTATTTAATTTTTAGTCTATTTAATTATATTATTTAAGCCCACTTATTTTTAGACCACTTACTCAAAACCCTCCATCACCTCATGTATGACTTGCTCTCATCTTCTATTTCTCAAGTTCATTACGTTTCTTGAAAAAAAAAAACTTTGTTCTCTCTCACAGTCACACTAATAGCGGTTAAATTGCCATCCACCGACGATCATTTTAGCATTTGACAACTTCTCTGTGTCAATTTGATAATCGACTTGATATTCATGTTTCTTAAATTTTCATAGCAATTTAGCTTTCGCGGTTTTGGTATTATCTTTTGAAAGTGAAGGAAAAAAAATTCATATCGAATTTTCATCTCAAATTTCTTTCGTAGCAAAATTTTTTTCGGGGGCGCTGCCCCCGAACCCCCGTGTGTTTAAGCCCCCCCTCACCAAACTTTCTGGCCTCGCCACTGTGCATACATATATGTATGTATATATATATCTAAGAAAAACATATTATAGATCACACACACACACACACACAAAGTTCAGAAAAAAAAAAAGAAATAATCTCGAAGCAAAATTTGATTGAATTTTCTCCTCTCTGCAATAATTAGTATTCATGCATTGCATTGCATGCATTTGATTTTTCGAATGCATTTGATTTTTCGATTTTTTTTCTGCGTTTAATTTCTCTCACTCTATTCAGAAATTCGGCCGCCGGTCATCAGAAGTAGCTCCAAAGGCTTTCACCTTCAGAATTTTCCGGCGAATCTTCCGGCGGCCGGAAAGCCATCCTGGGCAAACTAACCAGCATTCCCTCCGCCATATCCAAAAGCAAGTTAGGCATATAAAACAACGCCTCCTCATCTATGAACTCATCAATAATAGTTTCTACAATATTATCAGGCGGCTCCGCCGCCGCCGCCGCTTCAGTATCCTCTCTCGGCAGTTTCCGATCATCCGCCGCAGTATCTCCGCCGGCGGGCCTCATCATCTCCGCCGCGTCGGCGGCGGCCCGGCGGATATCCTGTGGTGAAGGCGAAGACGGGACCGGGAACGAGGTAACGTGATCCGGGAAGTTCAAGAGAACATCACCCCCCTTCAGTGCCAGCGCCGCCACGTCGTAGGCGGCCGCCGCCATCTCCGGCGAGGGGTACGTGCCGAGCCATATGCGCGTGGTCTTCCTCGGCTCGCGAATCTCCGATACCCATTTTCCGGTGCGGCTCCGTATTCCACGGTACATTGGGTGTTTTCCGTTGGTGGCGGCGGCGGCGGCGGCGGAGCTGGTGGTGGTTTTCTTGATTTTCTTGGGCGGCGATGATTGAGAGTGTGTGGGGGAATTAGGAGAGTACGGCGACGGAGGACGGTGGCGCTGCTGGATCATATTGTTGGGTTGTTGATCATGTGGAGAGTCAGACATATACATATAGATACATAGATAGATACATGCATGTGTGTATGTATAATATAAAATATAATAAAAAAAAAAAAAATAGTTTTGGTAGCTATATATAAATAGATCAATGGTGATGTTTGTTGGTATATAAGGAGATTAAATTGTGTGTTCTACACAAAGTGAAGCCGTGGGAAATTCGTGGTTTAATTAACTTCACATTGGTAGGGGGGTGGGGTGGGGTGGTGGGTGGGGTAGGGGTAGGGGTAGAATTGTCAATCGAAAAGAGGGGGCGCACACGCACAAACACACGTATTACAAACATGCATGAAAAGCTAATTATTAGCTGTTTTCTAACATTTGTGTTCAATCATACATACATCTCTTTTTATCAAACTTATTGAAAAACTAGGTTTATTTAATATTTATATTGTTTAATATTATCCACTTCAAGCTTTGGCATAGTGTGAAGCCACTTAATGCTAAAAATTCTTCCACTTGTTAGTTAGATCATATTGTCTACTCGGAGGGGTTGGTAAATATATTTTCTTTTTTTCTTTTTTTTTTTTTAGTTTCAATGTCATTTTCTTAGAGGGGCAAATTGAAATTCTATAAAATCAAAATTGGTTCGGAAAATACAATGTCGCGACTCGACAAAACTTACACTCTTGTATAATATGTCTATCATTGTACAGACATTAATATTATCTGAAATGTTAAATGTTTGTATCAAATTTACTAATATTGTTTTGATTTCGAACGTAATTTTAACCATTTCTAGTCTAATTTTGGCAAAATTCAGAATACGCAAATTGTAATACGTTTACATAGATTTCTAATTTATCTTGACCTGTTAGATTGAATGTCGATCAGGTGACAAAGTTATGCATGAATCAATTACATTTAAAATTTCGTATAATTCAAAATCATCAAAATTGTGGGAAGCGTACATTGACTATTAATGCATATATTTCTCAACCGACATTCAATCTTGTTGATTCAAGTTGGATTAGAAAACTAACTCAAATAACTACAAATTCCATGTTATCCGTTTTGCGATTCAGGTAAAAATATTGTCAAAATCATGTTTGAAGTTGAAACGGTATTACTAAAACCGAAACGACATTTATCGGCCCATTAGCGAAAGGGGACCAAATGTAATATAAATTGATAAACGAGGGACCAAAAGTGACTTTTTGGAACGAGAGCAACCAACAATATTTGTATCGTAAAAATGAGGGACCAAAATTGTATTTTTCCCAATATATTTAATTATATCATACTACTTAACAATGTAAGTTGGAGCAAGTTTAACAATCAATTACAGTAAAAAAAAAAACACACATAGTTAAAAATAATGTAAGTTGCCACTAATTCATATTTGGTCCCCATAGTTAAAAAACACACATTTGGTTCCTTAAGTTGCCACATTATTATGCCGTTTGTCCCTTCCGTCAATTAAATGTTAGTAACTAACGGAATCGCTCACATGTAGGGCACACCATTTTATCAAAATAAGGTAATGCACAATGGACTAAACATGTTTTTGTGTAGAACAAGAGGGACCAAATATATTTTATTCGTAAATACAAGGGACCAAATTGTTATACTCCTATCATTTCTGGTCAAATTTCGTTAACTAATAACAACCCATTAACGAAAGGGTATTGTATCATATCGAGGTAAATCGAGGGATCAAGAGCGTTTTCTTGGAACATGGGGACCAAAAAGTATTTTTCGCTTCGACAATTCGACATATCTCCAAATTCCCTATAAAGAAAAACAAAATTCATGGTTTGACTTCTTTTTTTTTTCATATCATTCAACCAAATTAAATCGAAATTAGCCCAAAACTAATGGATGGTAGACTAAAACAGTAAAACAAATGTATAAAAATAAAATTTTAAAAACCAACTAAGCCAATTAAAATAACAATTCTGGGCAGGTACAAAGGGTGTCTACTTCTCTAGTATATATAGAGCTCACATGTTGAAACACTTGCATTAATATAACCCTCATCATTTTATTTTTCTGTATTTTTAATAATTAAGCAATTTATAGCCAATTATATAATTAGTGCACCGAGTAAACATTTATAGAACCTCATGCGCTATCAATTGTTCAAAAATCAATTTGTGTCAGGAAATGCGCAAACCATAACTCCATAGTAAATTCAGCATACACAAGCGCCCGCGACATTCGATTATGACAATTGCTGCGAAACTAAGGCTAACAACATTCGTTCTCGTACAACAGTTTGCAAATTATATAAGAAAAGTAAATTACACTAGACATAAATTAGTGTACGATAAATTTAACTTAAAATATATTGACAAGATAATTCGAACTCCGGACATTAATTACTTTACATTGGCTAGGTACTTCTATCCTAAATCCTAAAATTCATGTTTGAATCTGATTAAACATTATAATAAAAATAAACATTAATTAAAGAAATTGAAAAAATAACAGCATATAGGCTTAGATGCCTTGATTCTCAATGTCAGTTGGTTTACTTAGGTACAGCAAAACAATTTATTTATTTCTTTTCTTATTTATAAGATGTGGTGGCTGATTTTTAATTAAATGAATGGTATATAGATAGCCATCAAGGCTCAAATATTATATGAAAATTAATATTAATAAAACTCTCATCAGATCCAACATAATTTGATTATTTTGGATATTGATACACGTGAGTTTTTGTTTAAGTGTTAATTAGTTCTTTTTTTTTCTCAATTTGATTAGAACTTAAGTTAATATTTGTTTATTACATATACATTTGACTTCTTTATTTGTAGTTGCCTTCATAGGATTGGACAATCGGTTATCAATGTCGGCTACATATGTTGTCGTCAATTCTTTTCTAAATTTTTGCCTCCACCATTTTTTAAAGGGACTATTTAACATAACCCTTTCAAAATATTTTATTAATAGGAAAAGGTCCAAATAATAATTTACTATTTGAGATAAATTCACTCCTTTCAAGGCGAAAGGATTGAGAGGTCGATGTAGAAGACATATCGGAAACATATGGGGACTATGAAGAGGTCGCGGAGGGTGACGGCGGAGCGGGTGGCCCGCTCCAGGGCGTACTACTTGCTGTAGAGGAGGGCGGCGGAGTTGCGGCCGCGCACATAGAGTGCGACAACGATTATATTTTTTCGTAAAATTTGGATTAAACTGGGCGCTAATCGGATATAATATTTGCGTAGTCGATTAATAAATCTACTATATTTTTTATAGTCAATTTATTATTTTTAGGTCTAATATACGCTTTAATATTTTAATCAACAATAGTCTATTAATAAAGACTATGCAAACAGCATGGTCGATTAGAGTCCAGTTTAATCCCAATTTCGCGGAAAAACATAAGGTATATTAGAAAATCGCGAAAAAACATAAGGAGGGGGTTTCTCAAATTATTTTGTTTGAGAGGGTTCTACCTCACCTGATTTTCCTTATATAGATTGGTCCGGTCACTTTTCTTTTATAGTGATAGGTCAAGGTTGAGAATTTTTCGTCATCAAGGCGTTGGGGAGCGGCTTCTCGCGGCGTCAGGCGGAGATGGAAACAACGACGACAATACAGAGGCGGTGGAAAGGGCGGAGGTGGAAGGCAGTTGTGGGTAAGGAAGGGAAAGAAGAAAAAAGAGAAGAAAAAAAAAACGTGATTGATGATGAGAGGTGGAGAAGGGGTGCCTGAGTAAGAAAATGGTTAGGATTGTTGTTATAAGTAGGAGTAATATTGATATATTATTTATTTAATTAAACAACTAAGGGGGTTTCACTAATAACATAAAAGAAGATGGATCCGTCCTCACATACCCAAATGAGTTAGGGGGTCTCACTATAAACCCTAAATTCTCAAGTCAAAAAAAGGGAAAAATTAGCTGAAAGCCCCACAAATATATTCTCTATAGCCTTAAGGAGTAACAGATTTATCTTTTTGCTTAAAGTCCTTGTGCGTAATCTTCCCCTGGATCTGACGCTAGATTTGGAGTCATTCAAACTGAATTGCTTATGAAAACTAACAGCGGTGATTGCACAGTTTAGTTATATTAGTAAGCAACAACTTAGTTATAATAAAACTAACAATAACGGTGACGGTGATTTGCAGAGCTTAGTTACATTAATAAGCAATAACTTAATTAAAATAAACTAAAGAAAAAACTAAAACAAGAATTGATGCATCCAACAACACATAATACAACTTACACAGACTTATTTACAGAGTAAAAAAACATGTACTTCATGTAATTTTACTTTGAAGTTTGGGTTAATTAGACGGCTTATAAAGCTTATTTGCATAACTTAAGTTACACAACTTAATCGAAATAAACTTAAAAAAATCTTAAATATATGGTGCATGCATCATTACCAACATTAGTATCTGCATCACCAACACCAAAGAATTTTTCATATTTTAAATTTTTCTTTTTAATTTTCATGATTATTAGATTACAGCGGAGAAAAAAAACGTGTAACCAAAATAGTACATGTTGCCAATATTTATATGTAGGTGGGCGATTATGTGTGTGCCTTGTGTATAGTTGTAATATAGGAAGATCCATCATAATTCATATGTTATCTGTATTTCATCATTATATAACATGTTCATGCAAAAAGTGTCACCCTATTCACTGTTGGTAATGCCATTTTCCAAATTTTGGTGCCAAATCATTTTCATGGTATAATAAAACATTAAGCTGATTGTGATTGTCAAATATATTTTGTCGAATTTGGTACTTTGAATGGTTGCACTAAATCTTTTTATTCGTACCCTTTATTTATGTATTTGCCTTTTGGGGATTTCGTGGTTAGTGACCCTAAAACTTTCTTTGGATAATATTTGCGTTACTCTTAGAACAATGATTGGTTGTACTTACTCGAGTTTTCTTCAATTTTCTTAAATTTCAAAGTAAGCCAATGCGCGCATGCATTATACGATTTAGGTAGTATTTGCAAAAACTTATTTAAAGTTAAAAGTTAGTGATTATAAGTTAAGTGAGTATTAAGTGTTTATTTATAAAAGTTAAAATTGTTTGTAATTACTATTGGAAAATGAACATAAATAGGAAAATCAGGTCTAAATGTGCTTTCAAAAAAAAATACTTAAAACAATTTATTTCAAGACAAGCAAACATAAAAATTAATTTTGCAAAACACCTAAAAGCATACTATAAGAAGAAAGAAAACTCTAAAGTTGTTTCTAAAAACAAACTTTTGCAAGTATTAAAATATTATTTATTTATTTTAACACCAAAAAGAAGAAGTCAATTAATTATCAATCAAAGTCTTAATAGAAGGAGAGGTTGTGGATCTAAGATGAGTCATATTATTGAGATCATCTATAAAGTATCATTCAAAAAGGATGGACACTTTTCAAAATATGCGAAATGATTATAACTTATAAAACTTCTACATTTCGATATATCTTGATCAAAGTAGATGTAACTTATAATATTATTCATGAGCTTATGAAGGGTGTGTAGATATTTTTGTGATGAACATTCTATACTATTTGCTAATAGGGATGTTAATGGGTCGGTTCTGAGGCGGGTTAGCTTTGACCACATGATCTGAACCTAGACCCGTTCTGACCAGAACCCAAATTAGATTGGTCCGATAGATCAGTTAGACCCATTAACAACAAACAAAATATTTAATCTCTTGATTTTATAATATATTACTCATATATTGACAAGCATGGTAAATTACAACCACTCCTGAGGTATGGTCAAATTACGATAAACTCCCTTATGTTTGGGTAATTACAACCACCCCTTAACTACAAATCTTCTTACACGTCCACCCTTGCGGTTTTAAATTTAGTGGAATCTTCTTGATTATATGGAATATTATCACTTTTGTACCCGTTTTTTCCCATTCGAACTCCACATTTTGAAGCAAGATGATCATAATATGTGTTTTTTGGCTTGTATATATCAGATTGTGGTGCATCATAAACTGTATTTTCACCCAAAATGAGTGCAAACTAGAGCACATTCCATGAAATCTAGATGATTATGTTGAATTTGACACCATAAGGGTGGAGCTATAAGAAAAAATCACAGTTGAGGGATAGATGTAACTATTCAAACAAGAGAAGTTTTTTCGTAAATTGACCATACCTCAGGGGTGATTGTAATTTACCCTTACAAGTAAAATAATCTAAACACTCAAATGCAACATTCCAAAAAGTTATACATGTATATGAAGCGAAACAACAAATATTTTTTTTTAAATCAACACAAATATATCATTAGTTAATTATATTTAACTATTACAATATGTTAGTAGACTATTTTTTGTTTAAATATAATATATGTATAAATTCAGTTCTGTGTCGGTTCCTATAAAGCCCGCAACCCAACCAAGAACCATCCGATTATTGAAACCTAAACTCGATAGCCGACTCAGAACCGTTTAACTTACTCATAAACAGCTCGGTTTCAAATCTAAAATAGACCAAATCCATACCCATCACTAGTTACTAATCTAATAACATTCTATTATGTAACCCCCTTCCGTTCGCAAAAGCAAATATATACGAAACAAAACAAAATTATATACGACGCGCTTATCAATATATCTTTTTGGATACTTCCTATTTACATGGTTTGCTTAATGCAATAATAGATATTGTGCTACATAAAATAAGTCCAAATCATTTTTCAGTTTTTGCAGAACACAAAATATTGAAACATCAATACCAAATCCCCTCACAATAATACAACATTTAATTCTTCAAGCACATATAATTTCCCTATTAAATCATCACACCAAAAGCCTAAATAATCGAAATATTTATTTTCGCTCTCCAATGAAACCCCCTAATCGACATTTCGAAAACAATATCAAATTTTTCTCTGCCTAGAAATAGAATTACAATTTCGATATCCTAAAGAAAGTATGGACACCTTCCTAACAAAACTTTGTGGAACTTGTGACTGGATTCTTCCCCACCAGAACCTTCAAAGAATTCTACCAATTCACGACCCCAAAAAAAAAAACGAAAACCTCAAATTCAAATCAACAATTTCTCTCCTATTTGCACGGCAAGGAGAGAAAACAATACAGAAGTTCAAATAGCACATTCCCTATACAACCACAGCTTCCGGTTCTCAATAAAATGCTATTGTACGGAAACAGTCACATGGCGAAACTGGGCCCCACAATTGTCGGAAAAATAGACAATGATGAATAAACGCACAGCCAATCAAGTAAGGAAGGAATATTCTGCGATCATCATACTTGATACTTGAGCAGCTTTTCCTTCACATCTGGCTCCAAGGCAGACATGCATTGTTCCCACGCTCCATTTTGAAGCATCTGCAAATGTTTCGAGTGATTTACCAAGGTGTTATTTTTTATTTTTTTATTTCATAATCCCTTCGAGTAATTTAATGTTCAATTGGAAATCATTGTTGGGAGGCAAAGAAACCACAACTAGGGGAATATGACATTATTGAGAAACGTAATGTTTGTTTCGATTTTAGTGAAGATATTTTTTTCCTCGAGCACCAAATCATGTTTTGGTAGATTTTGGTTTAACGATACGTGATATTCATAAAGCAGCACGCTCGGTCCCCAAGTTCTTGTTTTGGTCACAAGGGCAGGTGATATATAACAGTTATAATTTATTTTGGCGAAATTCCATACTGATTATCTTCTAAAAATACAAAGCTGCTTACTTGTTTATAGCCGTTCAACACCTGGCAGACTTCATTGTGTAGGTCCTCACTCCTTATTTCCTGTAAAGGAACAAATGATCAGGAAAAAAAAAACGAAACAAAAACAACAAAAATTATTTCACTGTTTCTGCAGAAAGAAATTTGTAGCCAGTCTGATAATGCATTACTTACATGCCAACTTGCAATAGCCTTGCACATGAAAACAAGAGAATTCAAAGCCCCAGCTGGATTTGCTCTAACCTGCAAGTCGATGTAACATTTAATAATAATATAAGGGTGATTATGTCTTGATACCACAGCCATAGGTAAACAGAAAAACTTACCATTGCGCATAAACCTCTGAAAGCATCTTCCTTCTCTACGTCATCCCGTATCCTATGACAATTTTAGAATTAGATACAGATCAATAGAGTTTCTTACTATCCAAAAAAGACGTCCTAATCTATGATGTTAATTCTCACATGCAAAAACCTGAAAAATCACAAGACAACGACCCGACGTATAACCTCAAGAACATATAATTGTCTTACGAGATTATATAGATAATTAAGGGGCAGATGGGCATGCTAAATTAAAAAGAGATGCAAATAGTATTGACACAAATCAGATGTGTTTTCCAGAGTTTTCTCAACAATCATGTTTTCCTTTCTTTCTTTCTTTTTTCTCTTTTTCCTTTTTTTTTTTTGGCATACATCAACTCGATTGTGTGTCCTAAAGATGCCTGTTTTTTACTCTTTAATATGTGAAGCAATTGGCCATAAATGTAAGCAGATTTGAAGACATTAAAACACCACTTATAATGAATAATAAGGAACCAACAACTTACATGGACAAAGCAATGCACCACGACTGCAGGAAATGCTCCATGTGTGGTGAGACAAGCTCCGGGCAAACCCATGCAAGTCTTCCAAGTGTAATGGCACTATTTTCTATGAGTGATTTGTTCAAGCCCTAAACAATCAAAATCGAAACTATGAGTAGAGGAGCCCAGTTCTATTTGGACCTCAATCATTAAATTACTGGTCACATAGCATGATAACGGAATGGATAAGCCCAAGAACAACATGATATTACACTTTTATTTTCTGATTAATATGTGTGGATCTGATCGCAAGTGAATATAATTCTACAACAGATACAAGAAAAGGACAAAAGTGCTTCTGCTATCTACGTGTGATGTCACTTTTGCAGTGATTATTCCTTGATGATGTTCTAAAATGTATTGAACGAAGAACTATACTTAAAAAGTAATCGACGCATCCAAAGATTAATTTTAGTTTTACTTTTTGCTGATTTGATGAATAACAAGCAAATGAGGAACAACTTCAATCGGTTAACCTAAACTTCAGTCATGAAAAATAGAAGATATCATAAAATTTAAGAGAACAAAGTACAAACCACGAGCTAGAACAATAAACAAATACATAGTAAAGCAAAAATCAAGGATGGGTGACTACCTCGGGACGTTGCAGTATCGGGACTAAGCAAGAGACTACATTCAGAACTACAGGAGACATCTCCTTCTGAACCTGAAGTTAAAATATCAAATAACAATTCAGACCTCATTAGATAAACAACATGCAAAAAGAGAAATTATGTATACCAAATATTTGGAGTTGAAACAAAAGATAATAGAAATCCCACTGAACTATAGCTGAACACCATAACGAATCAATAATACAAATTTAGGATTCCAAAACCCTGAAATAAGAGAATCAGCACCCACCACCCAGACAATGCTAAAGATGCTGAGAAGAAAGGACCATACCTTTATTGCTAGTTCTCCAATAGCCCAACATGCATTGTTGGCGACAGATACAGTCTCCTTCAGCTTCGGGGTGTTCTGATGAGAGCACAAGTTATTCACAGGATAAGAAAGTTAAGTTATAAAATACTGTCAATAATTGCAGAGGGGTGATTTAACTTACCAATTGCTTCGCAGCAACATCGAGAAACTCAGCTAAACGAGAATGTAAATGAACTGGACAAACCTAATAAAATAATTCAAAAAAAAAAAAACCTTGAATATCTGATTGAATCAAGACATAACAACAAGAGCGCACAAGTTACAAGGTGTAATAAAAACCCTCATTTCTAACTGTTCCAAAACCGTCATTGCTAGGAGCAAATAATTGATCTACGAACATAATCAGATCATGGAATATGTAGGCACAGCTTAATAGCTGGACCAACACTCAAACAACATCAAATCTAAACTTACTCTAGCAAGGTCTCCCAGCAGAGCAAAAGCACTTTGCCGGATGTCATAGGCATCCTCCATACAACATTGCAGCAGCAAGTCCCTTAAATTACTTTGTGAAACCTAAAAGACAACATAAAGGACAAAGGATAAATACAAAACAAAGAAGAAAAAAGGATGTTGAACACAATAACAAATGTTTAAGCTATTTTGCATATTAATTCTTAAGGAAGTCTTGCGACTTCAGCAAGTGGCGGCAACAGTTTGACAATACTATCAAAGACATCATGATGTGTAATCACCATTCAACATTACCATGATGATGCTAACATTTTATTTACGGATATAAAATGAATGACAAAAAAAAAAGAGGATAAAGATAAGGGCATCAATATCATGAACATTGCATTGTACTCACCCTACCCAATAATAACCACCAACACCAGCCTCCACCCGGCCTCCACACCCCCCCCCCCCAACCCACCCACCCACCACTAGGGTTGTTCATGGGTCGGGTCGGTTGAATATCGGCCGATTATCGGCCCGACCCGACCAACCGACTATTGCAAATATGCAAAACTATTACCGGCCCGACTATTGTGGGTCGGGTAACGGTTGGCAACCGACTTTGTCGGTTGCCGAAACAGTTCGGTTGCAAATTATCGGCCGATATCGGCCACATTAAAAAAAAAAAAAAATCAGATTTTCAATTTATGAGGAAAAAAAAAATACTATTCTCATTAAATAATTCTCGAGAAAAACTTCATTTTTTTTCACTCATAAATAGTATTCTAACAAATATAAAGAATCCCACATATTTATGTTATAGATATATTCTGGCTTGTTTCTTCTTGTTTGGCTTCTTTGATCTTTGTTTAATGTGAGATATACAAAAAAATAAACAAAAAAAAAAAAAAAAAAAAAAAAGGAACGAGAATTCTTCCTGGACAGTCATTGAGATTCTAATATTTGAAAAAAAAAAAGGTCTGGTTCAATTATTCAACTACTTCAAATACAAAAACACATTCTAAATATTAGCATCTCCCAAAAACTCAAACATTATTGCCCAAAAATTAAATGTAGAGTCAAAAGGAAAAATAAAAAAAATAAAAAAAAAAAGTCGGTTGGTCGGGTAATATCGGCCAACCGACTTTTCAATATTTCAGAAACCATAACCGACCCGACTATGCATGGGTCGGTTGATATTATCGGCCCGACCAGAACGGGTCGGTTGATGGGTAATTATCGGCCGCAATAGTCGGGCCGATAATGGGTCGGTTGTCGGGTAAAACCGACCCATGAACAACCCTACCCACCACCACCCCAACCCAACCCAACCCACCCCCTGTTATCGGCACTTATATTTCCTCACTGTCTCTCCTACCGTACATCATAAAAGAGCATCATTTATAGCATAGCTTATTTAAAGGGGATCAGTAACTGAGATGATTTCTTGAGCAATAAAATTTAGCAGAAAGAGCACAGGCCTATGCAAACATGTATGATGCAGTACGGTAATGAACGGCATTATGAAAAAAAAAGTACCAAACTCTCAATCCCAGGACCAAGACCCTCAGCAAGTCCTGAGAGAAGATCCAAGGAGCAAACTGTGAACTCTTTATCATACTGTGCCCCAGCTGAAACAGGATCAACCTAAAAGCACAAGTTTGGTCTTCCAGTCATTAGGTTGTTAAGGATACATAAATGCATAGATTTTGGTTAGTTACATGTATTAGTAAAAGGGAAGAATAAATAGAACCTAGTCAAAACTTTCAAAACCTTTAAAAAAAAAGGTAGAACCAACTTTGTCAGGCTAAATGCATCAAGCCTATTAATTACTATATTTACAGCTTCTGAAGCAAATGAAACAAGCACACTAAGGCTCTGCAGAGCATTTTCAAGTTTGCAAAAAATTATCTACAAAAAACCAATAGATAGTGAAAAAAGCAATATTACAACTGGAAACCATAACTACAGGGTCATAGATGTTAAAAAAATACCAAAATATCATGACACTTAAACTAATACTCGGTAGAGAGATATTGTGTCAATAAAAACCTTGGCCAATTGTTGAGTCTGGATGATGTTTATGCACCTCAGATACACTGGCTGAGCAAACTGTGAAAATCCGGTACCCAATGCCTGAAAAAAGACCATGTTACTTACTTTGTCCTCCACTGTCATGTTTCAGACATTTATAAAGGATTAGTGCAGAAACAACCTTCTAATCTGGACAGATAGTGTTTTCCAATGACATTTAAATACTTAAAGATACATAGTGTTTCACTTTGTGTATGACAATAACTGACTTCCACAAGATTCAATTACATGTTTGCAGGAGACAAGATTCTAAAACTTTTCTAAATACATATTTGCAGGAGACAAGATTCTAAAACTTTTCTAAAAACATATTTGCAGGAAGAAAAAATTCTAAGACTCTAGTCTTTAACACAAGTTCGTGAGTGTAATGGCAATCACTTGTCTGACAGCTCAAAGTATACAACTTTGGCTCCTTGGACTCCCATAAAGAAACAGAATAGAAGTGTCATGCCTTAGAATTAGTTCTGAGGAATGTTGTTCCCATAAGAGTATGCAATACCTAAGATTATAGTTTCGATACTGAAATCACATGATAATGTATTCAATGGATCAAATGATTTCACCACATAAAAAAAAGGCAACTAATTATAATAAAAGTCAATCAAACCTTGTAAAACAAAACGAAGAAAAGTTCAACTACACTGCTCCTTAATGTAGAATAACAGCTTGAATGTAACTTTAAAATGATCAAGGATAACTAGATACCTTTGCTATTGATGTAAAGCATTCGAACAGCGGAAAAAGATCTTTGTCAGAGTTAGAAAGCTGCTGCCACTTTCCAATCAATGGGGGCATTAAAATTTCAAGATATCTAGGCTGCAATTGTCAACATAGCGAAATAAGCAAGAAATGGAAAACATGTTCAAAGTAGGTAAATTAAACCCATGGAGCAAACAGTAGTGATGACTGATGAGAGAAATCATGTTTAGAACATAAATGCATCTTTGTGAATGAAAAACATGTTTTTAAGTAGAAATAGAACACACCTATGAAGAACAATTATGCATACCTGATTCAGCTCTCCACCAACAGCCTCTGCTAATGTTCCAAGAGCATCATATACAATTCTGAGGTTTCGCCTCTGCAAACAAGGTACTTATGAGAAAGAAGAAATAAGTGGAAGAGGGAGCAGAATAGACACTGAGAGAGGATGCTTTTAAATCCCAATCAAAGACTCTCATGCTCCTGACCATAAAGACAAGGAAGACCAAAAACTAGCACCGTAAATCAACCTGATATTTTCCAAAGGCCGCCATTAAGTGTTGCAAAATGACATCCAATCGTGGAGCCAACTCTTCTGCAGCTTCCTGCATATAAGGGAATTTCATATCAATAAGAGCTACAACTTGAACCAAGTTACAAACAGTTTCATGGAGAGAGAGAGAGAGAGAGAGTGGGGGGGGGGGGGGGTGTTTAACCTCTTCAAGTGTTGCAAAAGCTGAACAAGCAGCTTCTTGCACCCTCTTATTGTCATCCAATATTCTTTGCAGTAAACCCATCAGAACTTTGTCAAATCGTTCATGACCTTCTTGGTGAGCAGTACCCTAGAACATTTTAACAAGTGATGTCAACTCAGAACTGACCTTATAACTTAATCCCATGGGTTAACAAACAAATATAACATTGTAAACTAAGCAATCTTGAAAAACAAGTTTGAAGCCACGATAACAGAACGCAAGAAATTATTAGAAACCAAAATTAACTTCAGTTATACGTTAGTCACTAAGTTAATGCTGTCTGGTGTAACTAAAACCACAAGTCCATTCTCTAACAAATTCAAAGTCTTCAAGGGGAAAATTTATACTAACATCAACACTCTTACACTTTTAAACTTTGACTAGAATTGCATATGGAAATATGAATTGCATCTGCATTGCGGGTTTGGCAGTTGCCCTTAGATTTCCAGGCACTTATCACTAAGAACAAAGGATAACAAGGCTTGGCTTCAATATCTACCTGCTTAAGGTGAAGATAAACTACTACTGAAAGGGAAAGGGGAGGGAATGATCTGGAGATTTTCCAATACTAACAGTTGTGTCCACAACGTAACAGTCCATTCAATATCATAAGCTTTATAACATATCGTTTTTTATCAGAAGCTGTAATGCTAGACTAAACTCCAGATCCAAACACGAATAGCTTGTATTTGGAAATTATATACCCTAGAGATAGAATGTAGTGTAGTAGAGAATCCATTATAAGCATTGTAAGATATTTTCTCCAGTTCAAACGTGCCATAAGGTACTACTTTTTTCTACATCATCTAATGTTGTACAATATGCAACCTTATAACAGGCACATAACATAAGAATACCTTAAAGACACACTTGAGCCAAGAATCGAGAAATGTGAAATTTAAAAGTTATATTGATACTTGGGACTCTGAAGTGGCCCAATATCTGAATATGAATTGTGACATATTACCTGAACAATATATTTGCTAAAACGCGACAGTGTCCAACAAGAGATGCTTCGAATCAGAGGAAACTTGTCATCTAAGAGTGGAATGAGAAATGCAATAATCTGCACAAGGAAAGAAGATCAGCATCTAATCAGGCTAAGCACAAACAGAGAAGATATACTAGAATGCTGCGGGATATTGAATAAAGAGAACATGTAAAGAATGTGTTTCAATTGGAACAAATAAATCATATGTTACACAGACAGGATAAAAAAATACAGTCACGAACCGCTAGAAGCATCAAACATAAAAACTGCAACAGATAGAGTAGATGACACATGTTGGAATTCGTGTGATATAAGAGCTTGACTTTTAACATCACAAACCCGAAAAACATCATGACAACACTACGTTAGCTGCAAAACATGTACTTCTCGGATCCTTATCAGCTCAAGAGCACTCTGGTCCAATCTAGTTTCCACTACGTACTAGCTATTCAACCCACCTCACCTAGACTTTAATATCTCATTCAAGTCTATGAGAAAATATGTACTAAGGAGGTCCACTAATATTTTTTATGTAAAAGATATTTTAATTTCTGATATCAGATGCTGGCTCTACCACTGGATCCAAGGGATAGCAGACCAAGTCAAAAGCATAAATTAAAAATAAGGGCCACTTTCTAATTTTGGAAGATTTTGTTCCAAAGCTAGGTGCACGAAACAGTACTGCCTATTATGATATGATTTGATTGATTATTTACAGCTTCAAGTCATGTTATACAGATATCTCCCACAATATTTCATACATTGGACTGGCTACACCATTGTCTGCCATTAAAGGTAAAAGCCATCCTATAAAGAAAATAGAATTTAGTTGATCTCCCCTAGTTACTAATAGCCCTTATGTACCCCGGATATCTCATATGCCCTTCTATAAGTATTGAAAAAAATAAAAATAGAAATTTAAATCAAGGGTCTCTCTTCTACTCAGACACGAATAACCATTTTCATCCCCCATTATAACCTCAAGTCAGTATGCTCTGTTCCTTGATTTGTGACCCTTCCATTGGTTTGTATTTTCAAGCGAGTAAGATGCATAAATTGTTTAGTAACCAACGACAGGAAGGACACATTCGACTCCTTGTAGGTAGAGCTAGGAATATGCATGTATTTGTTGCACCTATATCGAAGTGTGATGACTTCATTTTGGCACAGTTCAGATTAATTGTAATAGTTCTTTTTCTTTTAAGGTGCAGTTACTTGAAATTTTATCCATGAAATAACAATTAAAGCTTGATACTTCATGCTCTGACAATTATTTATGTATTACCACCCCAACACTGGAACAGCTATGCAACGACTCTTCATCTTCACCATCAAGTAAGAAAACCTTTCATTTATATCTTCTGATTCTCTCCTACTCATCCCCCACTAAATTTAAGCCATTTTCTCTCTCTCTCTGTGTTAATTTCTTATGGTCCGGGGGGACACCCTAAACCTCGCTAACTAATGCAAACAAAGATGTAATATAAAATTGTTTGTGACCAATACCACTAAACATTACCTCGGAGAGATGTGGGTAAAGACCAATAATGCAGCCCTCGCCTATGGCACCAAGCGCTAACACTGCAGCTTCCCTCTCTTTCCAACCTTCATCATCTGCATTGGACAACTTTGCCTGCAAAATAGAAAAGGACAAATTCCAAAATCTTGAGAAGCTAATCTTAAAGAATACTTCACGAATTGGTGAAACAGAGGAATTGAGCAGAAGTATCTATGTTTCCATGTTTTTCATGCCTCATTATGTTCTTCTCCAACTTTCATCAATAATGACTACAGATTATTACCTGTTTGGCCTGTCCCATTCCATTTAGGACTTACTGAAGCGCCAAATTATAAAAAATGGCAGAGTCATACTGTTCAACAACTTAAACTAAGTACTTGGCATATTTGCAATCTTTACTGTTCCACCGAACTAATAATTACTGACTTCAGAATATTTATATAGTAGTTGAACATGGGTAAATGACGAAAAATCCAACAGCTATGTTCACTGTGCATAAGCAATTAGGCAGAGAATGTGTTTGTGTGTATGAAACACGAACACAGTGTTTGCGTGCATCAAACACGAACACAGTGTTTGTGTGCATCAAACACGAACACAGCATTCACATTATATTCTTTTTAATGGTCCTATTCTTCATTAGCCAAGACATATTTTTTTAATTATTTGTGATGCAATTACTATCAAGTATCGAATTCAAATTCATGTCAAACCCAGGAGTCTCACAAATCGAAGTCCATGTTAAACCATACTTGAAATTTTTATTGGTTTCCTAAAGATCACGGCAATGCAATACTATCTGTTGCTTCCAATGTATGCACAACAATTAACTGGTTTGGATGTAAGAAAGAAAATTCTACGATCCAAATTATACGCATCAATATTCAAGCCAGGGAATTCCAGTCGGGATCAAAGGAATGCAAGGAATTAAAGAGGTAGAAGCAAAATCAAAGAGCAGAAACAACAGAACTTCAATGATCATGCAACTAAACCACCTGCACAATGGGCATCATAGTGGGCAAGATCTCATCCCCAAACACATTGGAGATAAAATCTAGTGCGGCTGCACTGCATTTACGTAAATTCCAAACATTTACAATGTCATCATCCTGAAATAACAAAAACCAAGCAGCTAAATCAGAATGTTTACATGTAACCTAAGAAGAGTACTGTCTAAGAAAATGAAGTAAACAGAGTTATAGACATTGAGAATCTATTTTATTGTACAGATATTGCAAGTATGAGAAAAATACATTTAATACAACCATCCTCTAATCATAAACGCTGAAATTGTATACATACCTCGTCTTCTTCATCCTCAGACCCATGAAAACGTGATGCATGAAACCGGGGCTTCAGATCCTGCGTATAATAATTGCCATCAGAAACATAAATCAACTCAGCATTTTATATCCAAAAAAACAGCACGAATTGCAATGGAACCTGATCTCGATCTGGAAGAGACCCATCCTCCTGCAAAAGGAAACATGGTGAATAAAAAAGGTACCAAATTATATCATTATAATTAAGGTTCAGAAATGAATTAGGAAAAACAAAACAAAACAAAAAAAACCTCAGCTTCTGCAAGAGATTCATCATCATCAGAATACGCCATGTTTAAGAGCAAAATCTACAGAAGTTGGGCAAATATATTAGTAAATAGTAAGTATAGAATTCGTATACTGAGTGATTACATAGAGTAAATTATAAGCATAACATGAATCATACTGGTAGAAGACGTGGCAAAAATTCCCTCAGGTTCTCTGGCGGCAATTCAGCTTCACAATAAGCAGACCTGTGAAGCAAAAGTGAGCTACCATGTACAACGGGGGGGTTCATAATTAAACAGTTGAAAAAAAACATGACTAATTAGGAGCAATGAACAGCATATCAAGAAAACAGTAATCATATCAGCAGTAGTAAATGCATGCGCAACTAAGAGATAAACTATAATTCCTGCATTTGTTTGCAAGAAAGCAAATAAATATTATGTCATTAGCGGTACAGCTGTATTTATTGATCCTATGGGAGTTATATAGTAATGCTAAGAGTTTGTTATGCAGTCAAATTCTTGATTTAAAATACCTAAGGAATCTGTTTGGACATTTACCTTTCAGTCCCAAAAAAAGGCTAATCTGTCTCACTATCTAGAAAATTCTCCATAAAGTTTCTTAATCTGAATAAAGGAGTACGAAATTCACATAATCCCCTGAGAATGGCAATCAACTTAAAGAAACGTTACAATCTTGTTTATTGAAGCATTAAACTAACAAATGGTCCTCATCAAACCGAAAAATATTTACAAATCTCCAGAATCAACCCATGCACTAACATATGAACTACTATTTTGTGTATCTAGGTCCATATGCTACACTACTAATAGTAGCTTGGTAGAATGTAACCTAATTTTTACAAGACTTGATAAACTACCCATTCAGAACAGTTTTTTTCCCTTTTTGCCCAGCAAAGTGAACAATAAGTATACCATTGTGTAAGTCAGAATGAACTAATACAACACTTAAACCGAACCAGATTTCAACTATCCCAAGCCCTTTACCCGAAATCAAAGAATTTCTTGATCCTAAAGCGATCTACCCCATTTTGACACTAATTAAAACAAAACCGGAGCTAAAGAAAATGTAGAACCAAGAAAGCAGATTTGCAACCGTCATCCGTGACCACCAAGATATATAAAAAAATTAGACTTGAGAAACAACTGCGGTACCAAAATTCACATGCTTCTAGAGCCACTTCATCGTCGGGGTCCTTGTTGACTATCAACATATATTCGATTATATTCCTTAAATGAGGCTGCAGTATCAAATTGAAATGGTATCAGGAAAAATATTTTGGAACATCACATCTCAATAGATATAAGAGATCAAAATCTTTTGAAGTATTTGTATATAAAATTAAGTGAGTACTAGTGACTCCTTAAACTATAAAACATAATAAGCATTTGAAAATTTAAAGGTGACAATATATTACCCACCTCCAAAACAGCAGAACGTACTTCAATCAGCTGAACAAATGCGGAACATACCTGTTTAGCAGAAGGGTAAAAAAAGAGTGAATTCCATGTAAGTGAAGTTGCAAAGCTGGGAGCCCTCAAAATTTATACAACTATATATAGGTTACAAAAGATGTGTTCATTATGAAAGATAACAAGTGAAAATAAGGATAGGAACAGACAGAGTGACTACATATTTAGAGCATTCACATCAACTAATCCTGCTCACTGAATGGGATTCAGTATATATAACACTTCAGAAATAAATCCTCAGAAAATAATATAAAGCATCACAAGAAATAAGAAGAAAACCAACAGGCTAGCAAATCAAGAAAGCTGAAAAGGAAAACTAACATAACAATAATGAAACACTGGATGAAACAAGCACAAGGTGAATGGAACTGGAAGTATGACGTCTGATACATTTGGCAGAGATCCAAACATCAATTCCTACAACCAACTCAAGAGGACAACTGAAAGAATTTCTTACCAGCTTCCGCACCTCTGCAGTTGGGTCATTGGCAAGGACAAACAAACCTTGCAAATATTTATCCATAGACAAATGCAAAACCTGCAAATTTATCAAAATAAGTTTTGACGTATATACATGTGAGGGAATTGACTGGAAAGTAATGATTCCAAGTCACATTGATCGACACTCACCGTAGGCATTAGCATAATGTACTGATTCACCGAACCCAAGGACAGCTTTCTTAATGTAGCATGTGGGGACTGGAAAAGCTGTTTAATACAAAATTAGACAGCATGATTCTTGTGAGATAGCAGATCAAAAAAATTTAGTTTCGTCTTCAGAGGAGTAAGGTGGGAGGGAGAGAGGAGGTCCAAAAGAACATCATAAGAACCTGGAGGAATCTTGGAATAAATGCATTAATGGGCCGTTCAGATAATCCAGAAATATCAGAATCAAGCACTTGGGGCACATCTTCACAAATCTGCATTGGTACACACGTTAGTAAGACTTAGCTTCTTCCAAAACCAAGTAAAGTACATGAAGAGCTTGTTGCATTGTATGTCAATGAAAATTCACACCGAAACAAAAATCATGGCCCCGAGACATCGTGATTCATGTACAACCCAACAAAACAAGAAATTTATACCTTGGACAAAGCATCCATAGCACCTTCCATGTGATTGGCATCATTACTATCTAAACACTTTACGAGGACATGTAGCAATTCAGGCCATCCTGCAACTCCCTCAATCTGAACAAAAGTACTGATAATTGTCCCAGCTGTAGACCTGATTTGCCTATCTGCTGCTCCCATACAAGGTAACAACTCCGACTTTATATAGCGTTGATTTGCAGGCGGCATGGTTTTGAATGCACTTCTAAGGTTGTTCTTCAGAAGCAAACCTGCTGCTTGCCTAACCTCCACTGATATCCCCTTTTATATCACATTCACAAAATAGTCAGTTGACCAAAATAGCCCAAAAGTTCACTACACAGACTCGTTTACAGACATTGATATTTTAGTATAGTGCATCTTTAAATAAAACAGCAATATGACAAGGTCAAACTAATTAGTTTACAGTCGAATAGTTCCCGGATGATTGCAGAATTTCAAACAAGTTCACCCATCCCACCAACTAATAGTGTGATACATATTACGTCACATTGCACGCTCATTCATACCACAATTAAGTACTCACAGCCAAGCTTGTATTGATTACCATCAGTTTTTTTTTTCTTCCCATGAAAATGGCTTTCCATTTCTTTGTCACGTCATATCAATCTGCAAATGCTAATAGGTTTCATAAAAGCCTCCATAACACATACTTCATAACAATCCCATACAAATTCCCTTTAATGTAGCAACAACAACTTGCTCAATGTAGCAGAATGTTTACGTAAAAATCAAAATGAACAAAATTAGTGGAAAATTAGGTTAAAAGGAACATGATTAAGTTCGTCTACTCATACAACTCATTCTTAACTTGGCCATGTCACTTGCTCCAAATTCATATGAATACTGGAAACATAATTATTTTTAATACCAAAACACCGAAACTCACTTAACATTGTCCTAAAACCAACAATCCAACTGAATGATAACTGACACAGACTTCCAAAATTAGCCTTTTCACCATATATCAGAAAACAATCACCGAAACTCGATAAGCACATTGATTTTTGTACTAAACAAGTAAAACAACTACCAACAAAATCACTAAGCAAAAACTCAAACTTCAATCACAACCACTTCCAAGTCAATTCAATATAACTAGGGCACAAAAACAAACAAAAAAAAGAAAAACAACAACCTCGGCGTGCGCGAAGATAAAAGCGAGATAATTGTTGAAATCGGGGAAGTGGGAGTACTGCTGCAGCTTCTGCCAAATCATCGACTTGTCATCGGAGGTGGGAGCCATCTGCTGCTCCAGCAGCCCACAGATCTCCCTGAGCCCCTCCTCCTGAGGCGTCCACGTCGACGCTTCGCCGCTCAACGCCATACTTTCTCTCTCCTAAACACGAGAATCCAATCCAATTTTTTTTTTTTGTTTAATTAGTGAACAGAAAAATTGAATATCAACGGAAGGTGCGATGAATGTTGTTGAATTCGGACAAAATTTCTAGAGAGAGAGAGAGAGGGGGGAACAGAAGCAGAGCCGAAGACGAGTTTGAAGGCTCTGTTCCGAGGAAGGAGAAGACTGGAAAATTACAGAGAGAGATTTGGGTTTTTTTTTTTGGGCTTTGAGGAGGGAAGGATTCGGTGTGCGCAGGTGTAGGGTAAGACTATGGATCAACCAATTAACGGAGATGTTCTTTTCCTTTTTTTTTTTATGTTGTGGGCCCAGTGGGCGGTGGTATATAGTGGCGAACAGAGAGAGAAACCAATCTTGGTTGGCTTTGGCCCATTTTCTACCATTTTTTGCTATTTTATTAGCCACTGGAAGCAGGAATTCTGTACGAAATTGGAATATGATTTTAAGGCCATTTTTTTTTTCTTTTTTTCTTTTCTTTTTTTTTTTCCTAAATCCTATTTTCGTAGAACCAACCTATAAATTATAATAGATATTAATTATGATGTTATCCAAATATATTAAAATGTTTGAAACTAAAATTAAATAAATTATATATTCTCCAATACCCAAACACATAGAGCACCAAATTAAAATGCACAAAATACTACTCCTTCAACTTCTTTTTAATTGTCGTTTTAGCCATAATTTTATTTTTTCATATTAAGTGTCACTTTAGAATTTAAAAAATACGACAATATTTTTTTTTTTTTTGTTCAATTTCGCTTTACAATTGACGAGAGATTAATGAACTAATAAAGAGAGATTTAAAGCCACAAAAGGGTTAATTTCGTCAAATATCTTCTTCCTTCTTACCCAATTAATTATCGTTTTGGCCGAGGAAAAAAAATCCCCTTTTATTTGACGTTGTAAACTTTCAAAGCAAAACATTTTCTTTTATTTCCATGTTTGCCCTTGTTATTAATTGTTCCTATTCTGTGATGTTACAAGCTATTTTATATTTGTTCAACGAATTAATGAGTTATTATTTAGAGAGAGAATAGGGTAATCTTGAATTTCACTATCAGATTAAAGACTAATTAATGAACTTCTTAATATGTGTGAGAAATCCTTAAACGTCAAATGTTGGGGAAGGATGGAGTATTATTTTCCCTAAAATCAAGAGTAGTTATCAACTTTTTTAATTGGTGTGCATTAACCTTAAACGACACTTATTTTGAAAACAGATGAATTATTAGGTTAGGGATGTTCAATATTCGAGTTGGACCCTGTTAAGTGTATATTTATACACTTAATTATACCTTTTAATTGGAGCTTTTGGTGTGTTTTTACGATAATTGGTGCTTAATTTGGTTATTATTTGTATTTTAGGTGCAAATTGAAGAATTGACAACTTTTGGGGTGAAAACTGAAAATTCAGAGAAAAAGTGGGCCAAAAGTGAAAAAATAGAAATCTGGAGAATTAAAGACCGCACGGCCGTGCGGATTTTAGTTCACAATCTCACACGGCCGTCCGGGTGGACGTGATGGCGCAGTGAAGGGAACTCAATTATACAAGGAAACCCGCCCTATTAGACTTTTGCACCCTATTTAAAGGCCACAAGCACACAATTAGACCTATCTTTTGAATCTTTTACCTTTCATCTTTATTTTGAGTTTTTATCTTTTCTACACGGAATCGAGGAGCAAGAGAACGAAGACGAAGACTTGACGACTCTTCATCCTAGTTTTCCTTTTTCCTTTTCTTTTCTGATTTTTATGAATTTTCGTATTTTTATTATGTTTTTCGTTACGAACATGAGTAGCTAAGTTTTTATTCTAGGATTTTATTGGAACCCTATGTGGTAACTCGAACCTATTTTTCTAATTTTATGCAAGTTTAATTCTTCGATTATTTCTTCTATCTTGATCTTATTTAGTGCATGAGCGTAGCTAACTTATGTTGCTATTTGTTATTGTTAGAATTGATTGACAGATCGTTTTAATAATTAGAACAGGGATAGAAGAGCCTTCGAGTAGTTTTTCACCGAATGCGTGTGTTGATTGCATGTATTATCGTAGACATACAGATAATACCTTAGGTAGCCGTTTGCGAGACTTGTTATTTAATGATTTATTTATACTAGGTTTGCATAGACATATAGTGAATCTTTTATGAATAATAGGTTTATAGCGCAGCGACAGCTGGTTATGAATAATTTCGTGTCTTGGGTTAATAATCGGGAATCGTAACTTGCATGATAGGAAATTAATTGGGTGAAGAATTATCGCATAGGGGGAAGATAAAATCCTAGATCCGTTTATTATTGATTTTTTTTTTCTCGTGATTACTTGTTTTCTTAATTATTTTAATTTATTTACTTAATTAATTTGACAACCTGCGTAGGCTGGATAAAAATCACAATTGTTAGGATTTGGTACTTAGGATTAAATAATTTACGTATTCCCTGTGGGATCGACATCCGACTCTCACGAGTCTACTTTACTACTTGTTTGCGATACGTACACTTGCGTGTTGGTATTTAGCACCCAACAGACCCGAACCGATACTTGTGATTGTTTGGGTGTCAACCGTCGATATCAAATTGACGGGATTCGCATTTGTATTTAAAACATTACGATCGTGAATTCGTGATTGTTTGTCCATTGAAGATTAAAGGTGAAGAGAAAATTAAAAAAAAAAAAAAAAAAAAGAATGAAAAAAAACATTGGTTAATGCTCAAATTTTGAAAAAACTGACTAATTGAAATCTTCAATCCGATTGGGTGAACTACCAACCCGACAATCAGTAAACCGGCGATTATGATCCGTAATTGGACCCTTAAAATGAAGGGTCGGTTACCGGTTAAGGGTTTATCTTTTGAACCGTAAACCATCGATTCCAACACGTAAACAAGCGGTTCATTATCCATAGCATATCTACATCAATTACTCGAAATCACTACAAGAAAAAATGGCATTAGTGACACCTCAACTGTTTTTTTTTCTTTGAGAGGATTAGTGACACCTCAACTGCGAAAAACAACAGTTCGCAACAAAAGTTGTCACTAAATGCATATATTCAAGGGTAAATTACGGTCACCCCCGAGGAGGTATGGCCAAATCACGAAAAAAAAACCCATTTTTGTTTCGGTAATTACAGCCACCCCTCCTTTTAAATATTTTTACATAAAATTTATGTAATTCGGTTATTTACAGAACCAAATTGTATATTTAGTTCGGTAGACGGTATGAAATATTGGCGTACCGAAAATTCGGTTCGATATTAAAGAATTAGCATCCCTAAACTTAACCATGGAAGGGTCTTTTTGTAAGATAATACATAATTAAGAGGTCGTTGTAATTACCCAAAAGAAGGGAATTTTCGTAATTTGACCATAACTGAGAGGTGACCGTAATTTGCCCATATGAACGACAAGTATAGCAACAACAATTTTTTACCTAATCATGTGTAAATTAGTGTTTGTCACTCAAAATATTATTTTTTGTACTGAATCTGGAGAAAACTTTGGTCCTAAAATAATTTGTCACAAAACATACATTCAAGCCGGTGTTTTTAATGTTTCTTTCTCCTGAAAATCTTTGCTACAAAATAAAATCTGGTCGGCTTCATGACAAATTGTGTCCAAAAAATTTAAGGATCAACGTCTTTATTACCAAATCAGATGTTCTTACAAAGTAAAAACAAAAACAAAAAGATGCAAATTAATCAGATTTCAACTCTTTCATCTAATTAATCTCACCCCCAAGCTGAAATAGCAACCGAAAATCTCACTGATCTTTTCGGGCTTTGGGTCGGGCCGCCCTCGCGGGCTTAATGATATTGCCTAGCAAGATTATGGCTATTGGAATAATTGTACCGATATAGTATACACTTCCATATGCAACTAGTGTTTCATGCAGGCTTAGTACCTGTAAACGATAATATTTTAGCACCATAAACATTTAGCAAAATAATATTAATAGTAATAATAATAATAATAATTTTTAATTTTCTTGATAATAATAATATAAAAGTACGAACCATGAAACCGACGCTGGAGTAGTTGAGAACGACAAGTGTGTAGACAAAGTTAAACAATGCAAGAAGATTCTTGATCATAGGCGTTTGGCTTGCTTGCTGCCACCTGTAAATAGCTGCTCGTAGAAGAAAAAAAAAAATTAATCAAGAAATGATTTACTTAAATTAGCCTAATATACTCGATGAAATAATATTGACGTATACGAAAAAATTTGTTACCTCTTGAACCGGCAATCATTATAGCAGATTGAACAAAGAATATGATGTATCCAGGATATAATCCCTGTCGAGAGAATTAACACATTTTAAAATATCTTAGTCGAAATACAAAGAAAAAAAAAATACCATTTGCTAAAATTAGGCAAATAAATTTTCGGGAAAAAAATTGACGAGAGTTTATATACTTACATGCCACACCGCGCTCACGGTTTGAGTAGCCAGCAATTGGAAGAATCCTGGTTTCTTGCCGTTCTGAATCAACCTCTCGTATACGTCTGGACGAAATTAACAATAATCACGTAAATAGAGATTTATGTTTTAATGATTAATTTTCACAAAGGCAGAATATACTACGGAATATGCCGAAAATAATACTAAACGGAGAATCTCGAAACACGATAGAGAGATCATTGTTTTTTGCTCACAGGTGCAGAAACAGAAAATATACTATTTCCCAAAAAAAATCGAAACACCAAAAAAAAAGGAAAAAGAAAAAATATATACATACATATATATATATAT